GAAATTGTTTTTCATCACATTCATGGAATAGACCTCAGATTCCTTTTCTTGTGATTTAAAAACTTTTTCAGCTTCTGCAAAATTACCCCCAAGAATTTTCTCACAAGAATGTGGAATTTGAGCTGAAATAATATAATTAGCATTCTTATGAGATTTTGCCCAAGTGTGAAGCACAGTTTGTTCTTTGATCAAAAGATTTTTAACATCATCAATTTCAGCAGACAAAGATGAATTTGACAAACTAGTAATTCTAAGATTTTCCTGAGTGGACTCAATAATACTATTTTTCATGGATATATCAGTTTCAAGAAGATCAATTTGATTTTGCAAATTTCTTATGGTTTGATTCTTCTTAGAATTAATGACACCCAAATACTCAAACATTTTGATTTTTTCATTCATTGAATAGGAAACAAAGTTTTTAACCTGGTACATTGAAGAAGAGTCAATGTTGTGCTTCCTGGAATTTTCAGCATCAGACATATCAGTGTCAAAAGTACTTTTGTCTTTATCAGAAATAGTCGGGTCCTCCATTTTGACCATTAGACACTTGACTTCATCATCTGATGACTCTTCATCAGTTTTCCATTTTTCTTCTTCAGCTACAAGCACTTTATGTTCCAAGTTTTCAGCTTTCAGCTTCTCAATCAGCTTGTTGTACTTCTGCTTCCAGTATTCATCTGAGCCTTGTTTCTTTTGTTTACAATCCTTTGCAAAATGATCAGTGCTCCCACAGTTAAAGCACTGAGCCTTCTCTTTCTTATCAGCACCATGCCTTTTATCAGCTCCTGACCCTTTTGAGAACTTTCCACCCATCTTCTTTTGAAACTTTGAGAAGTTTCGACCTGATTTTTCAAAGGTCTTCACAATCAAGGCTGCACTTGCCACAACCTTTTCAAGATCATCAGTGTCAGTTTTATATGAATCAGTATCTGAATCACTTTCAGTGTCTGAATCTGACACCAGCTTTTTGTTGGAGAACAAGGCTACAGAGGATTCACGCTGAGAATCTTTCATCAGTTCCTTTCTTTGAAGCTTGGATTCTTCATAGTATCGAAGATTTCCATAGAGACTTTGTAAGTCCATAGAGTTGATCTTCTCACTGTTTTTCAGCACATCAACATGATTCTCCCAACCTGCACCCAGAGAATCCAAAAACTTTTGCACTAGAACAGTTCTATGCTTCAACTGATCTAGTCTCCGAAGATCATTAACAAGAGTATTGAATCTGTTAAAAGTTTGAGTCAAGGTTTCACCTTTCTTAGCAAAAAAATGTTCATACCTTCGATTAAGATCATTTATTTGAGTAGCCTTGACTTCTTCAGTTCCTTCAAAAGATACAGTCAGAGTATCCATCATCTCTTTTGCTGAGATGCAATTTTGAACCAGCCCAAAGATGTTGTATGGCAGAGAGTAGCTGATTGCGGCACGAGCACGAACATCTAGACCATGTTTTCTCTTGTCATCTGCCGTCCAGTTTTCTTTGGGAGTTTTCTTCATAGTACCATCAGGAACATTATTTTTAAGAGGCTGATACATCGGAACATAAGGACCTTTTTCAACGATGTCCAACATGTCTTCATCAACAGACTCTAAGGCATATAGAGCCTTTATTTTCCACATAGCAAAGTTCGTTTCATCGAAAGGAGGGATTTTAGCAGAAGGATGATTTGATGAGTTTGATGAAGAAGAAGATGAAGCCATTTTTTTGATAAAAGAAACCTGCTCTGATACCAATTGAAGAGGCCTTTAGATCAATCGATATATCAAACAAAGACAATAAATAAGAACAAGAGAAATTCACAAAGAAAAACTTTCACTAAGAAAGATAATCTCACAAAGAGATTATCGTGTGCACAAAGCGACGATTAGGGTTTGTGAAAGGCGTGCGATTCACAAACCTGTACAAGATAATATAGACTGTTATTCTAGACAATCCCTACAATTCAGGGATACGCTAGCTAATAAATCAAGATAACTAAGGAAACAGAATAAATACATGATTTGTTACAATGCACTGAATAAACTAAACTAATACAAACTGAGCAGTTACACGCTGGTGCTAATGCTGAGACATGTGCTGACGCTGAGTCTGTTTTAAACATAATCATATTTCAAGGTTTGACCTTACAAGATGTATATTTTATTTATGTAAAATAGTTTCCAATTACTTGACCCTTGTTTGACTTTTATTGACTTGAAAATAACGAGCTGTTACACTACTCATGGTCGCGATTTGGCGAATCAACTCGTTGAGTCCTTTCACAGACTTGTCGAGTTCTACCTTAAACTAAAACGGGACAATCCTGACTCAACTCGTCGAGTTCCTCAATGGACTCGACGAGTTTCTCTGTCTGTTTGGGCCATCTTAATAGATTAAGCCTCTACCTTTCAGATCCAAACCCCATACTTCTACGTGCTAGAAATGCCCTTTTAAGGGTAAAGTTTCCAACTTTACCCACATATTTTTCCTTCATAGTGGGTTTAGCTAAAACCCTAGTTCCTTAGGAAATAGATCTTTATCCAAAAGCCTTATTACTCCCAAAGCATGAAAACCGAGATCTAGGTCCTAGACACCAAATGAACACGCAAAGTCTTAGACTTCACTTCCATGCATGGCCTTTTAGGGCTTAAAAGGCCATAATAACGTCTTTAAGCTTGTATGGGTGGGACGTCCATGTACCAAAGATCAAGATTCTTGAACCAAAACCCTCATAAAATGGAAATAAGGAGATCTAATGAACTAATAGCCAAGTTAGAGACTTGATTACTAGAAAATGATGAGGATGGAAGGAAGTCTCTGGATCTACTATCTTTTTATTGGACCTTCTAGCTCCTTCTTATTCTTCAAGCTTCAAGAACACATAAAGATTACTCAAGAATGGCTCACACACTCACAAAATGCTCTAGGGTTTCGTGGATTAGGGTTTGGGACTTGGAGGCTGGAAATGAGGCCATAAGGTGGGGATTAAGATGCTTAAATAGGATGCAAAAACCCGAAATTAGGGTTTCACTCTGGCAGACCTACTCACTGAGTTGAGGGCTCTCAACTCGTCGAGTAGATTGCTTAAAACCTCGCGTCTAATCTCGTTTCTACTCGACGAGTCTGGGCTCCTAACTCGCCAAGTAGCTCTACAAAAATAAATAAATTATAATTAAATGCGTAACAGGAATCAAACGTTACAGTGGTATATTTGGAAATTGAAAAAAAAAACTTAAAAAAAACTAGTCTAAGTAGCCTTTTAAAACGCTAACTTATAAGCTACTTTTTAGTTTGTCAAACATGACAACTTAAAAAAGATCAAAAAACAAGCGAGTTTATCAGCTAGCTGTGATGCACCAAACAGCCTTAATCATTAAGACTTATTTTATTTATTTATTATTATTTTTTTTGTAAAAGTGACAAAAAATTATTATGTAACATTTCAATTGAAACCGTGGTGTGGTAGATGAGCGAATAAAGTGAGAAAATAAAATGATGAAGTCATCCAACTAGATACTAATATAAATTGTAAAATAGTTAAATAAAATGATAAAAATATTAAAAATAAGGACTTAATGCGGACAAAATTAAAACCTTATTACCTATTTTTAAACGATTATAACAACCATGTTGGTGTAATATGTACAAAAAAAAGACCTTAGGGACCTAATATGGACAAAATTAAAACCATATTTTTTTAACGGTTATATACAACCATATTGATATAATATATATAAAAAATAATTAAGGACATAATATGGATAAAGTTAAAACCTCATTACCCTCCTATGTCATTATTATTTATTTATTTTTAAGGATCAAAATAATTACAAAACTACAAAAGCCGTTACAGAAATCATCTGGAAAATGATTTAAAAAGGTAACGAAGTTTCAAAAATGTACAAAAAAGACCATTGTTTTATTTTTAGTACACAAAATACCATTTTACCGGCTATTGTAGGTTACCCGGTTTCCAAATGTTCAAAAAATACCATTGTTGTTTTTTTAGTACAAAAAAAATACAATTAATGTTACTATTTGTACACAGAATACCAACGAAGTACATATGTACTCAACTAAAACATTGTGGTAACCAGGTACTTCAGGTAAATGGAAAAATGACTTAAAAGTATAATGAAGTTTCCAAAATGTTTAAAAAATACCACACTTTTTGTTAACTGTGTTGTTGTCGGATTATGTAGAACACAATCACCGGAGATCATGAACCGTCATATTAGTTCACAACAATAATGCAAATCTCTTTCATTCCTTCACTCGATCGTTCTTGTGATAACAAGTGAAGTAAGTGGGTAATAACATTAGTTAAACATTCCTGCTTCCCGATCACATTATATACCTTAAACCTAAAACATATATACGTTATATAGATGCACATATTATACATCAAAGTTAGTCGTTCATTAGTGTTGCAGCATAAGAGAGACACAAAGCAGAAATGAGTGTGACGTCATGTCATGAGAATTCCTAAAGATGGATTTAGATACAAACTGATCGAGTGATAGAATGAAAGAGAGTACACAATTGGTGTTGAACTGATACGATGGTAACTAATCTCTGATGACTGTGTTTTATATAATCCGGAAACAACGAAGTTAACAAAAAATGCTTTGAAAAAACAACAATGATTTTTTTTGAATATTTTGGAAATTTCAATGGTATTTTTTATACTAAAAAAATAATGGTATTTTTTGAACATTTTTGAAACTTTGTTACTTTTTTAAGACATTTTTCTGTTACCTGCAGTAACCGGTTACCCACAAGGTTTTATTTGAACATATGTGTACTTTGTTGGTATTTCATATATAAAAAATATACTTCAATGGTATTTTGTGTACTAAAAAAGAAATTATAGTTTTTTTTTTTTTTTTTTTTAATATTTTTAACATTTTACCAAAATCAACATATCGTCCTGAAAAAACAAAAAAACCGTAAATTTTTTACCCAAAAATAAATAAAAACCAGTCGGCCCAATTGTAATTCGACATGTCTGCTAGAGCCATGGTCAACACTATTTGTTAGTCAAACTTGGAGTCTCCTACTCAACACAACTCACCCACACAGCGTTTGCCCATATCGTGTTTCCGCATCAAGATCCCGATCTCTGCGCTCTGATCATCTTTCCCTTTCTCCGAATCTATCCCTATCTTCTTCTATAATCCAATTCCAGAAATGGAGTTCGAATCCAACAATATTTCTGAAGACAACAACAACAATCACGGATGGCAGAAGGTTACTTACGCTAAGAAGAACAGGAAGAATCAGCCTAAGCAGCAGGTGCCTCAACCGAAGGCGCTTCCAAACGGATCCGTCGTCGCCGGTAATGATAATGTGTTCACTGCTATTGAGAAGAAATCGGAGGAGCGTAGGAAGGTTATAGAAGCACAGAGATTGTCGATTTATGATCCTGCTCCTCCTCCAGTTAAATCGTCAAGGAAGAAGAACTACTCCGATTATGAGGACAGCGATGAAGAGGTTGTTGCCAATGGTGTGGCTGGGAATGATGATGTTGAGGAGAAGAAGAAGAAACCTAAGAAAGTAAAGAAACCTAAGGTCACAATTGCGGAAGCGGCGGAGAAGATCGATGTCGACGACCTGGCTAGTTTTCTGTTGGAGGTGACGGTGAGTGAATTTTATATGTTTATTTTCTACAATTCAATGTTTTGATTGAGGTTTCTCTCATTACCAGTTAAAATTCAACTGATTTGCGTATTGTATAGGCTTCGATCGGAACGGGAAGATATGCAATTGTGACATTTCTCTGTAGTTTTTTGTTTAGATTCAGCTTTAATTACTGTGTAATTTATCAAAGTTTAGTATAGTTCTAGGATAAAAATTATTGTCAATATGGTTGTAGATTACATACACAACTTCATTCTCACACAATTTGATTTTTAGTTGAAATATAGGAAACTAATCTTTATAACTTCTGTGTATGTGTTCATAGACTTCATTCGAGGCACAACAAGATATACAGTTGATGAGGTTTGCCGACTATTATGGACGTGCATTTTCTGGCGTGACTGCTTCACAATTTCCCTGGGTGAAGTTATTGAGAGAATCTCCTGTTGCAAAGGTTGCAGATGTAAGTTCTCCTCTTAGACTTCATATAATGTAATTCAAAAGGATTCGAACTTATGCTGCCAAATTTTAGTCCCTGTGAGTGTGTTCTCTACTAATTAACATGATATCATGGTATAAAGACTTTGAAATCTGAATAATTCAAACTGTTTGTGTATGATTCAGCACCTTTTGTATCAAAATATACACATTTACTGTTTTCCATACACACAAAGCTTCTAATCCACTTTCTCTCAAATGCAGAATCCCGTGTCACATATTCCTGAGGCTGTTTACAAAACCTCAGTTGATTGGATCAACAAACTATCCATGGAAGCCCTTAGTTCTTTTCTCCTTTGGTCCTTAGACAGCATTCTTGCTGACTTTGAAATTCAACAAGGTGGCTCAAAGGGATCCAAGAAAGTTGCCCAAAAAACACCCTCAAAATCTCAGGTGGGTCTGTTTGTAGTATTAGCAATGGTGTTACGAAGGAAGCCCGATACGGTAATTACCGTTTTGCCCTCTCTAAAAGAAACCCCAAAGTATCTTGGACAAGACAAGCTCCCAATTATTGTCTGGATGGTAGCTCAAGTAAGTAAATAACTCCATATCTATTTCTTCTTCCATAATAAATCACCACAAACTATTACCAATAATCTAATTTAATTTTTTTAATATGCAGGCATCACAAGGGGACCTAGCTGTTGGGTTATACTTATGGTCACATTTAATATTACCTATAGTTGGGACAAAATCAGGGTCCAACCCACAAACCAGGGATCTAATTTTGCAGTTAGTGGAAAGGTTTTAATTCATCTTTCTTTACCTTTTATTTGTTTCTTGACTTCGTGAGACTTTCAAATTCATGACATAATTTTTGATATTATGTTATTAGGATTCTATCTGCTCCAAAGGCAATGGCTATTTTAGTAAATGGTGCAGTGAGGAAAGGGGAGCGTTTAATGCCACCATCAGCACTTGACCTTCTTTTGAGAGTCACATTCCCTTCATCTTCAGCTCGTGTTAAGGTGTGCTGACATCATCATTCTATAACGAGTAATTTTGAGGTTTTAATTGATGGTTTTGTTGTGTAGGCAACTGAAAGATTTGAAGCTGTGTATCCTACACTGAAGAAGGTGGCTCTTGCTGGTTCCCCTGGAAGCAAAGCCATGAAACAAGTTTCTCAACAGATTTTGACTGTTTCTTTGAAAGCTTCTGGAGAAGGTAAAGTAGTGTTTTGGTGTTCAGTTATCAAAGAGGGAATGGAATTGAGCATTCCATTCCATCAAACTTCCAAGATAACCCAAAATTCTAATTCCTTTATATTGTTTTTTTTTCAGGCATACCTGAGCTATCCCGTGAAGCTTCTAGTATTTTTATCTGGTGCTTAACTCAAAACCCTGATTGTTGCAAGCAATGGGTGAGTTGTAATTCTCATCAAACAGTTTAGTACTTACATATTTTTTTTTATTTTTTTTTTTTTATATGAAATTATATAAATCAATATCAAATATCAACAGGAAAAGGTGTATTTGGATAATCTAGAAGCAAGCATTGTTGTTTTAAAAAGGCTCAATGAGCAATGGAAGGAGTTATCTCTAAACAAGCCATCTCTTGAGGCCCTCACTCAAACTCTTAGAAGTTTTAAAACCAAGGTATCATAATTTTTAAAAAATAAATTTCAGTTTCTTTTATTAAAATAACAACGTACGAATTAGTTAATTAATCATTTAATCCCTTCTCTAGAACGAAAAGGGGATGAAAGAGGGTGAGAAATCCAGTGATCAAACACCATACAAGGAAGCAGATAAGTATTGTAAGGTGTTATTGGGGAGGCTATCACGCGGGTGGGGGTGCGTGAAAGCTACCGTGTTCCTCGTTGTTGCGGTTGGTGTGGGGGCCACATTCCTGCCTTCAAATACATTGGAGTCGTTGGATTGGAACAAGTTATCTGAAATGTTAAACATCCAGCGGTTTGTCTAAGGTGACTGACATATAGAGTGTATCGGATTAATAAAAAGAGAGAATGAGGTATCTTTTTATTTATCCTTTTTTTTTTTTTTTTTTATCTTTTCCTTTAGAATTGAAGTTTAAAAGTACTAAAAATAGATGTAGTTTAAACTAATCACAAAGTGATGTTTTCTAGTTCTTTTTGACGTTTTAAATTATTATGTGAGTTTTACATGGGTGATGGAAGTGAACTTGTTAACGAGGACTTAGTTTCCCATCAACCATTTTGAAGTCCAAAAATACTTGGTCACATTGCTGTTTTTGTTCTTGAATCATTATAATACAAACCTTTAAGATTGGTGTAAAGTATTAATTGTTTAATAATTTAATTTCAGATTATAAATCAAATAAATCCAGTTAATACTTTTCGACATTGGGTTCAAAGACTTTCCACGATTTCAAGGAATGTCACATGGAATTTTATTTTCAATAATCAATTCTGTCCATAGAAATTTTTAGCTAAGTCTGGATAATGCCAAATGAAACAACAGTAACCGCAGTTATGCATTTTTTTTTACCTTGCTTTATGTCATCTTGTTAACGTGTAGGACAGTTCATTTTGTTTGATATCTAGGAAAGTAGGAATGAATATACGAAAAATCAAAACCAAGACAATTATTTGTATAATTATTGTAATGAGTCCAAACGAGTGTCACGTAAATCTTGTACAAAAAAAAGTACATTAACATCTAATCGGATGGATACGTTATTTGAATCAAGCCGATTCTTTTGGATTATAATCATTATATAAGCAAGCGTATTTATAGGAAATAATAATAATGATAGCTATAGAGAAGCTGTTAAGAAAATGGGATAATCATTACAATTTTGATGGAGATCACATATAAATTTAAAAGTGAAAATTGAAATAAGAAAATTAATAATTTAAATTAAAAAAAGATTATATTGAACGAAAAGGGGATATTTACCTTGCTTAAAGATCAAGTTCTCCTTTTGTTTTAATTATAGTGAATAATGTTCTGTAAACATGATATTTCATAATTGACCAATCAAAAGTTTACAAGGTCAAATTTATTATGTTACATATATGAACAAATTTGGTTTTCATATGATTGTCTTATATAATAAAAATCTAATTTGACAAAATGAAAAATATTTGCCACTTAAAATGCTTCAGATTCGTTATACACATCTCTTTGGTGTGGATGTTGAACCTCCACATGGCTACTTTGTGAGTTGGTGTAGACGTTGAACCTCCCATTTATGGTTAATTATGGCGTAACTAGTCATGGATGTAACACATAATTATACTTTCTTATTTGTTTCTTAATAAGATATGATATTAACTTTAATTACTAAAACTTAGTTTAAGTATTTTTATTAAAAAAAAATACCTAAAGTATTCAACCATTTTAATTATCTAGAGCATATATAATATAAAGTTTTTAAGAATTTTTTCAAACAAGTTGAAAAAAGCTAGTGGAGTATGTTTTTTCAAACTAAAGTTTTCTTAACAAAAAGCTTTGTCATAATTTTTTTCAATGATTTGGTTGGTCCATACAAGTTCTCAACAGATTGGAAATTGACAATTTATAGAAAACCAATATTAACAAAAGTAATGGATACCATAAATAAACAAATAGAAAAAATTCTAATATTATGAAGATAAAATAATTTTCATTTTTATGAAAAAACTCTACAGAGAAATGTGGATGCTTCAACTTATTTATATTGGATTGTAAGTGCAAGATGTGATAGTTTTGATTTATTTATTTTATTAATTAGACAGTTTGTGTCGTGTTTCATTTTTCTTTATTAATATATTGATTAAATACTATAAAAGTTGTTAGCCTTTTGTTGATGCCGACCGGGGACTACATATCACTCGGCTTAGTTGAAGATCTTAAAATTTTAAAACTTTTAAAATAAATATTAATAACATTCTAACATATAAATAACCATAAAAAATAATAATAATGTTTGCAAATACTTAAATCACCAATCATATTGTTGATGCCGACCGGGGACTGCGTAAAATATGAATCTGAAAAAAAAAACTCAGATTAATAAAAAATTAATCATAATAAGTTAACTCATAACTGTAAATTAAATTTTCTGATTTTTTTTTTTTTTTTAAATGTAAGGTTAAATTCATGTTATTTTTATGAAAAAATAATAATAATAAAAAATGTTGGTCAAGTCATATGTTAAGGCCAGCTTGGCTGTTAAAAAAAGCAAGAAAGAGGGACCGTCGTATGATGACGGAGTACCAATTTTGGGCCTCCAGAAACCAACCAAATGTTGAAATTATGAACATAAAAGAAAATAAATAATAATAATAATAATAATACTTTTCTTTAATCAAACAAAGGAAAGGTGTAACAACCGATTATCCATAGATTCTTTGGAACAAGAAAGAAGGAACCTCTGATCACCAACTGTACCTGTGTCTCTCTCTCTCTAACACACACAGACACCATACTATTAGATCAATCGAGATACTCGCCGATCTAATCGGGAAACCCCTCTTCGATCAATCAATTTAGAGATATGGCTACTATGCAGACTTGGCGGAAAGCCTACGGCGCTCTTAAAGATCAAACCACAGTCGGATTAGCCCACGTCAATAGCGATTTCAAGGTCAGTTCCTCCGCTTCTTCTCGCGATTACCCTTCAATTCTATCTTATAATTACGATTTTTGGTGTTGATGTGTGATTTAGGATGTGGATGTTGCCATCGTTAAAGCTACAAATCATGTCGAATGCCCACCCAAAGAGAGACACATCAGAAGTCAGTTCCTCTTTCAAGTTTCATCATCTATAACTGATTAATGGTAGATGTTAACTGTTAAATGTATTCGTTTTTTCTAGAAGTTTTGGCTGCTACATCTGCGATTCGGCCTCGAGCAGATGTACAGTATTGTTTACATGCCCTAGCAAGACGATTAGCCAAGACTCGCAATTGGACGGTATTGTTATCTACGAATTAGGGTTTTCATGCTTCCTTCTGATTTTCATTGTTATAGTTGGATATCTGGATACGAATTAGGGTTCATGTTTATGCAAAACTTCACGTTTCAAATCACATATCAGGTGGCATTGAAGACGCTAATAGTCATACATAGAGCACTAAGGGAAGGTGATCCAACATTCAGGGAAGAACTTCTAAATTTCCAACAAAGAGGGCGTGTTCTTCAATTAGCTAATTTCAAGGACGATTCAAGCCCTATTGGTTTCTTTTTTTCTTCTATCTTTCTTTCATTTTCATAGCTTATTATAATCGATTCTAAATCAAATTTCACAACTTTTCAACAGCCTGGGATTGTTCTGCTTGGGTTCGTACATATGGACTCTTCTTGGAAGAACGACTCGAATGCTTTAAAATCTTGAAATATGACATTGAATCCGAACGTATCCCTAGACCTGCTCAAGGTGAAGATAATAAGGTACAATTACATCAGTCTTAGTCAAATGCACACAGAACACAGCACAACTTGATCTGTCATATCTAATGCACACAAAACACAGTACAACCTGATCTGTCATGTCATGTGCAGGGTTATAGCAGAACTAGGGATTTGGATAGTGAACAATTATTGGAGCAATTGCCCTCATTACAACAACTATTATATCGTCTTATGGGATGCAGGGTTTGTTACCTTTTTTTTTTTATTTATATAAAAAAAAACATTTTGTAATTTCTTTGAATGAAAATTTAATTTTTCTGCAGCCTGAAGGGGCAGCTGTTGGGAATTATGTCATACAATATGCCCTTGCATTGGTATGCATGGCATTTGTCCTTTTGTTTCATTATCTAGAAATGATACTATATATGTAATATGTTTATTAAAAACTTATGATTATATGATTTGTGTGTTTTTTTTAGGTACTCAAAGAGAGCTTTAAAATTTATTGTGCAGTAAATGATGGAATTATCAATCTCATTGATAAGGTGATTCTTTGTTATATATGTTACATGTTGATTATGATTATATGTACTTGATTTTTTTATTTTGATAACCATTAATCGATATTTATTTATGTCAGTTTTTTGAGATGCCAAGACATGAAGCCATTAAAGCATTGGATATATATAAAAGAGCCGGTCAACAGGTCAGATCTTAATCAATTTACAATTCTGTTATCCAAAAAAAAACTTGGAAATATATTTTATTGGAAAATTATATCAATCATAATTAAATAATGCAATATAATATATTTAAATTGAATTTCCTGCAGGCTGGGACTCTTTCCGACTTCTATGAAGTTTGCAAAGGATTGGAACTTGCTAGAAATTTTCAGTTCCCTGTTCTTAGAGAGGTAAAATTATACTCTTTTACCCATCATTTCCAAAGTTCATGTAGGGTTATTTTGGTAATTTACCAATTTGTTATTTTCACAGCCTCCACAATCCTTTCTTGCAACAATGGAGGAGTACATAAGAGAAGCACCCCGAATGGTCTCCGTTCCATCAGAAACTTTGGTGTGTTTGCATTTTTAGTCCCAAATCTAATAATCTCTCTCTCTCTCTCTCTCTCTCTCTCTCTCTCTCTCTTTAATAAATTTCTCAAAATCTTTTACCCTTTTCAGGAATATCCAGAAAGGCTTATGCTGACATATAAACCAGAAGAAGACACCGACCCTCAAGAGGATACAAATTCACCTGTTAACGAAGCTATACCCGACTCGACAGACGATTATGTGTCAAATGACGATTCTGCCCCTGCCCCTTCACCTCCCCCTCCCCCACCAACTTTCAACAGCCGGGATCCTGATGATTTACTGGTAATTTTAATAACTTATTAATTTTATAATCCTGTTTAATTCTTTATTAATCACGGTTGTATCTAATTTGTTTAGGGGTTAAATTTCGATGCGCCAAATGCATCATCAATAGAAGATAGCAACGCATTGGCTCTTGCCATTATTCCAACTGGTAATTTGTCTTTTATTATTATTTTTTTTTTGAGAAATGATTTTATTTATTTATTTATTTGGGTGTAGATGGGGTGTCGAATGGATCTGGTGGTGTTCAAACAAAAGATTTTGATCCAACTGGATGGGAACTTGCATTGGTCTCCACTCCCAGCACCGATATTTCTTCGTTTCAAGATCGCCAACTGGTATAATTACTAATTTACCCTTCATTGATTTGTTC